CCGGGTTAATTTATAAAAATAATTATTTTATGAAACTTCAATATTTATATATGCATTGTATACGTTAAAAGCAAGGATGCAATTTGGTCAATATGTGTCCAGTCACCACCGGAGTGGACAATTGGCTGGCATCTCCGACGCCTGCTTTTTACTAATTTAACGGATTATTTTAGTCTGACGGCTCTATGAGGGGCAGGGGATTTCAATTTAACGGCTCAATGAGGGCAGTACGTGCTCATATAGAACTTTCATCAGTGAAAATAACATTTTCAAAATCTCTAACAATATTTTCATGTGCTCAAGCGGAAAAGAAGCACATGTTTTTCAGTCGTCAGAGGCTTTCCCTTCGTGTTGCGCCATTTTAGATCATGAATACAAAGAAAAATTCAGATAGTTTTGTAGATATTTTTGTAGATATTTCTAAACATTTTGCCATTAATTTTGCTCGTCCTTGCTGCAGTGTTAAAGCAGGATTCCGTAAATACCCATTCACTGTTCTTTTTTCTACTTTTTTATTTGAACCACGTTCTGATAAGTCATCGACATTTTTAGCATTTTTATATAGGTGTATCGAATTCTGTACAAATGTCTTCAACTTTCTTATATGTTTAGCAGCAGCTGATTGCTACATTTGGGTACCTTTAAGGTGCATGCAAAAGGGCGCAGCCTCGTAGCGCGACGCGCAACTTAGCACTCATGGCGTTTAACGTAATTTTTTCTCAAAAGATCAACTGCAACTAAACCTTTTTTGACAATGCATCAAGGACAAAGCTTCACTTTATCGGCTCACGAAAGAATTAGACCGAAATCTTTCATTAACTGTCGTTAAAGTCGGCCACGCTCTTACTTGACCGACTGTACTTTGGTGATGAATATTTGGCACATATATGAAAATATTTCGGATAAGTGTATATCTGGTGTGAGATTTTATCTATAATGTATTATACATAAATTTTCACCCAATGAATGAAATCGAAAGTAATCCAAATAAAATTGGGATATAAATGGTTGTTTACTTATATAGTCTGAACAACTGAAATTAGTCGGTTTCTTGCTAAAAACATCAATATTCATTATAATGATGAGCTTGAAATATGTGATGATATTTTTTTATATATCATTCTAAATATGAAATATGTTGAATAGTAATTATATAAATTTAATATATGATTTTGTTTAAGTGCAATATTCATCGCCATCGTTGTATATTCATAAACTTCTTCTCCTCTGACTGACAAAACTTATTATCTATAAGAATGTACTGTGTTGTCTATTTAATTAAGTTATCTTATTTTCTTCATATATGTTTTATTCTTTCAATATACTCGTATGTGATCTGTCTAATATAAATTTATATGTTGATGCAGGCGATGAAATTACTTACACAAGTAAGTTAGGATTGTGAAAATCGATTTATACCATACATGTATAGAATTATAAATGTATTTACACATATGTATTTAAAAAAGTGAAAAGTATACACATACACTATCACCTAATAATGTCAAAACGAATCACTAAATCGCACCTAAAAAGTTCACAACCATTGAGATATAAATTCACACAAACATTGCCATATGGTGAAAACAAAATGAACACTTTTTGAATTTAATTGCACAAATCAAATCGATACTTGGTAGAATTATAGTTCACTATAGATGAATAGAAGTCAAATCACTTTATAGACGGCATCACGCATTTGATCATAATTGAAAAATGAAAAATCTTTTTCTAGAGATGTTTGCAAAAATATGTAATTTTCCAATTCCAAGTTTCGGAAAATATAATCTAGAAAAATCTAGAAAAAGATTTTATTTATATAAATTTAGATTAATTGCTTAGCTCGGCTTGCAATTGTACGCACTATTAAAACCGCATGTTTAGATATCTCTAAATAGATGTATTGATGTGTAGATGTAATATTGTATATTAATATATTCTAATATAGTAATCAGAGATTATGCATGCTGCAATCTACTGTTATTAATATTTGATGTGTATTCTAACATAGTTGTGACAAACAAATCGTAATAGCAATCGGATATGGATTTGTGTACTAATTGGCATTTGTAACTAACATTATCATTAATTCAGCTATTTCTTCGTAAAGTAGTTTGATCTATCAACCATAAGCAAAAAACTTTAATGCGGTATAAAATAATATTCCCACCTAAAATTCGTTGAAAATATAGGAGAGTAAAAGTAAGTTGACATTATAAATATAATCTAAATTGTATATAAATAATGTTTGATATCATAAGTTAAGTATAAATAAGTAATTTGGAAAAATCAAATTGATGCTATTTTGATAGAACTAATCCTTTATTTTGTGATATTTACTAATTCCTTCTAGCAAAATATTTCTTATGTAATATTCAAAACTTTTGAAAATACTGCTATTATTTCAGTTTTTAAAATAAAGCAAATAGGTGGGCAAGGATTAACGGAATATGTGTGTTTTGATAAGAGCATTAACTCCTTGGCTGATATTCTAAATAGATTACAATTTATGCTTTATTTTTTTTCGGAATAATTGATTATGTTTGCTCTATATCCTAAAGAAATATAATCCAATCCTAGGGTAATTTTCATAAATTGCTAGTCGACACCCTAATGATACAGGTTCACAAAAAAAAGTTGTCTGTATTGGGTGTGTGACATACGTTTTCCAATGTATTTTTTACTGCTAAACACGAATCTAAAGTCAAAATTGGAGGTCAAATGACAATAAAATCCAATCTCCAATCTAGAAAATTTTGCTATGTGATAATTAAAAATTTATAATTTCAGTCTTTTCTTAGCCCTATTTACCATAAATAACCTGTGCAACGAATTTTTGCAACAATTTTTTGTGTCTCTTTTTGCAAGTATCTTCTTGCAGCTTCCAGCAGTAAATTGCAGACATATTTTGAGTAACTGCAAATATTTTTGCAGATTATCAGGGGCGGAGAGTAAATATGTCTGAAAATTACTGCTGGAAGCGATATGGTAAAAAGAGAGACAAAAAATGCGTTGCAGAAATTTGTTGATCTGGTCATACATGGGGAAAAGGGGCACAAAACGACAAAAATTATAAGATTTTACTTATTCAGCAGAAAAGTTTCTATATGGGAGATTCTGTTTTTTTAACTTCCCGCAGGGTAAGTTATTGTAATCGTCCAAAAATCGAAATTGAAAGTTTTTACATTTGCTGATTAGTTTTTGGCAAAGGCAAGTCCAATCGTTTTGGAGATACATAGCAAAGAGTGCAGAAAATAGAAATTAAGTTTCTGAGAGAACGGAGCATCCGATTTCAGTGATCAATTAGTAATGACGGGGTGAAGTGGTGATTAGTTTTTGGCAAAGACAGGTCCAGCCGTTTTGTAGATACCGAGCTAAATGTGCAAAAAATGGCAGTTTTTGGAAAAACTAAGCATCCGATTTGAATGATTCAAAGAACTTTCTGCTTGTGTTGATGAAACGATTACTTTAGGGATTTTTTTTAAAATTTCCAAATTTTTTTTTATTCGATACCGAAAATAGATTTTTTTTTTTAAATAAATAATTTTAACTTTGCAATTGAGTTTATATAATTTTTATAAATATTAGACAATGTTCTTCATTTTAAATTCGATTAATTAAGTTTAGTTTATTTACTTTTCAGTAAACATATATAAGTTACAATATTTATAATAATCTATTTGAAAGCATTTAATATTTCTCGAAGATTTTATTAAGGTAGGGGAAGTTCCAGCAATTTGCCTCAAGGCACGATGCCATTCACTACTAGTTTTTAATTTATTTCGGTTTTCTGCAGGATGACTCCCAACTTTGACTTTAGATTCGTGTAAAAAATAGAAATAGCGACATAGAAAACATATGTCGCACTCTTAATACATACATTTTTTATTTTGTCGACTTGTCTAACTAACCAAAAACCTTATTTTGTAAGTTTTATTTGAAGGATTTCCAATAGGTTTATGCGGTAAATTTATAAAATTATTTGTGCAAAGTTTAATTATACAAATTTATTATATGACTTTTATTTAGTCAATAGTCTATTTGATAATAAAGGTAATTTTTACGTTTATATATGTAATAATTATGAAAGTCATAAAAGAGCATTCATGCTTCACTTTAAAAGTTAGTGAGAGTCACAATTCTATTTTTGTCCAAAGTTTATTGATAGCTGAAGATTGATTAATTAAGATATTGATCCAAGTCGGTTAAATATTATTTGTACCTCGATATGGTTGAAAGTATCTGTCACTCTTTTTAAGAACTCGTTTGTGCATAAAATCTATTTTTATTCAAAAGTTTATTGTTAGCAGAGAAGTATTGATCTCTATATTGTTTAAGTTCTATTCTAATTGTTAAAAGTCGGTTAAATATTATGTGTACCTCGATATGGTTGAATATCTGTTACTCTTTTTAAAAGCTCGTTTGTGCGAAAATTCTTTTTTTTCTAAAAGTTTATTGTTAGCTGAAAAGTATTGATTTCTATATTGATTAAGTTCTATTCTACTTGTTAAAAGTCGGCTAAATATTATTGGATTCTCGATATGGTTGAATGAATCTGTCATTCTTTTTAACAGCTCGTTTGTGCAGAAATTCTATTTTTTTTCAAGTTTATTGTTAGCTGAAATGTATTGATCTCAATATTGATAAAGTTCTGTTAACTTGTTGACAGAACTAAAGTTGACTGTTAACAGTCGGTTAAATATTATTTGTTCCTCGATATGGTTGAATGAATCTGAACTCTTTTTAAAAGCTCGTTTGTGCAAAAATTCTATTTCTGTTCAAAGTTTATTGATAGCTGAAAAGTAATAATGTCTATTGATTAAGATATTGATCCAAGTCGGTTAAATATTATTTGTACATCGATATGGTTGAATGAATCTGCCACTCAGATATAAAAATTTAATTTAAACGATTTCCAATGAAACCCTATCCGTGCGTTATTTCGATTTGTGCAACTGTTGCTCGTCGGGCGCAGATTTCTCAGGGGCGTTTGGTTACAGATGACCACCATCCGGCTCCGACGTTCACGCCGCCCGAGTTGCCAAAGAAGGTACACGTGCGCGCTCTGCCGAACGCCGCCGGTAATTTCAAATCTACAGAATCAATTCAATTTCTATTCTATCATCTACTGTTATCATCAATTCTGTACTTATATTTAGACTTTTTCATCATGACTTTCACTGCAAATACAAATCCACACAAATATATTGACAAGGCTATTTACAAGAACTATAATACTAATAATTTTCAAGTTTTGCAAAACGTACAGCACATATAGCACACCTAGTAAATTGAAACATGTAATTTTATTATAAATGAAACAAAGAAGTACCTACTCAGCATACTCTTGCTGCTAACATAAGTTCATACAAAAACTCTTCGCTTTAGTCCACAGCCCGTGACCAAAAAATATAGTATTTTGGATAATTTTTATACCAATTTTTACTTAGTCCACCTTTAATACAAAAAATAGTCTCCATAGTCCAGTCATTATAGTAAGTTCACCTCGGAATTCGAGATACCCAGCTGTAAGTCTGTAAATACTTGTATATTGATCTTTGAAAGTTGTCTCAAAACTAGGGTTTGTCGGTTTTCAAAAACCGGTTTTTTGGCGAAAATTATGGAATTCGAAAACCGTTTTTTTAGTGAAAAAAGTAGGTTTTTACTGTATAAATGGAAAATGACAAATATAAAAGATAGATGAAAGCGTTTTGATTCTTATAATCATATCATTTCTATAGCATTTGATATCTTATCAATCTGCAATGGTTTCCAGAAATTGTATATATTAATTTAGATTTTTATACCAGTGTATATATTAATTTAAATCAGCGTCACTTCTTCTTGAAAAAGTAACTTCTTCTACTCAAACTTTAAAAAAAATAAATTAAACTCTAGAAGTGACAAATTAAAGAACGAAAAAATTAGAATTATTATATCAGGCTTTAAAAACAATTAAGCATAATTTGGTCGCAAGCATGAGAGTATTTTCTATTTCATAAAATTTTGTGTGTAATCAAAGGACATGTGTAACAATAAGTAGCAATTTGATAGACGTCATCAGTTTTTTAAAATCATATAAACAAAAAAATAATTAGAATGTTTCAGATTAATTAATTACAAATGCTCGGAATAGAAAATACCTGAGTTTAGCTTAATTGTTTTTAAAACTAAGCTTGATATTAACAAGTATGTATCAAAATGTATCTAGCATTTTTTTATTTAAAAATTTATTCGAAAACTTTCCTTTCACCATCATGAAAATATTTTCTTTCTTATATGTGAAAATGATGCATAAATAACGAATAATTATTTTCAAACTTATTTAATTAAGATAAACTATTATTTTTTAGTTCTACTAATTAAAATTAAAATAATTTTATTTACTATCTATAAAATTGAACTATAAATAAAATTAGTCAAATACTACTCTAAATTACACTAAATTTGCGGATCAATTACAGAGTCTTCGAGCAAAAATTTATTTTTTATATAAAATTCTAAAACCGGTTAAAACCGGTTTTTCAGTCAAATTAAAATTCGAAAACCGGTTTTCTGAAATGTCGGTTTTTGTATAAACCCTAGTACATACACCCCACTATATGTAGGTTTTGAAACAACTTTTAAATGTTAATATACAAGTATTTACAGACTTACAGCTGGATATCTCGAATTGCAAGATTCTTACCTGATTTAAGCTTAAATGACTGGACTACCATTTAGTTTGTTTTAATAATTCGTTTAAATAACAACAAAATAGTACTTGAACTGTAAATAAATCATATACTTTTTAACCTAAATGGTTATTTATATTATATCTAAATACTAACTAGTTTTTAAAAATGCAATTAAAACAAACTAAACTATTTGAGCCGGGCGCTTTCATTGCTTTTCCTAATTTGGCTTCAGAACTATTATAATCATTAGCTTTCATCCTTAGTTTTTTCCAAATTTTACAATAAAAAATAAAATGGGTTGCACGTTTTAAAAAAATCTGTTTTATTTTAAAAATATTCAATAATGAAGCATAAAACAATATTAAAGGCTAATATGAATGTATCGATCAATAATTGCATCGATTTTTTTTATTATATTTTCTGTGTTATGCATAATTATTTCATTTTCCACCAATTTCAGGCATGTGCTTGCATATAAACCAATTTATGTCTAATTTTGCTGTTCATTCCTCTTCATATTTTATGTTGCATTTGACCTGGCGCAGTTGAAATTACTTCACAAAAACCAGTAATATATTTAATTATTGTCTAACTTTAGCTAATTGAAAAGCTACGTTCGTACTCAATGAAAATTTAATTTTTTATATTTGTATAATTGGCAGTTCTAGACTAAGTACAAACTTAGCTTTTTTAAACTGTCATTGTTAGTTTATATTTAGGGGCTGTTTAAAATAGGTGAATATGGATTGATAATAGTAGAAATTTAGTGGGAAAGGTAATATACTTTACTAAAGACTTTTGATTCATATTTTAGGTGAAGCTGCAAGGGATCGAGAAGATTTGAACAGTAAGTGAATTAATAATATGGAAATATTAATAATATAATTTTACAAATCACAGTAAATGGTAAGAATTGGCAAGCACTAATTATTGGATGACATGTTAGGACAAAATCGTGGAAAAAATTTTAGAATGTGGTTCATTAGTGTCATGGTTTCTAGCTCCGAAAATGATGTGATATTTGGAATAATAATTGATAGTAAATTAAGCGTAGAATTCATTTTTTTTATAATTACATATAATACTTGATATCTTTTACGACAGTCATTTTTATGGCTTTTATAACAATTTATAAACGTTCTTTCTAATCACATTGTTTCATTTATATAATTTTATTCTTTTAATTTTTAATTATTATATTTAAGTATAGGAAATCAGTGCCACGACCAATTTACTACAGTTCTATCACTTTTTGATACTATTATAAAATTGATCAAAAAAAAGGAAATCTATGTATTTCTTCAATTAAAAACTCATAAATTCAATTGATAGAATGCAAAAATTTATTTTATCTCATGATTTTGAGTAATTTTGCGATTGCGTCGATCAGTGAAATCTTAGTAAATGTGGCTAATAATTACAAACTAATAAATTTCAGTTGTTAGATTTATTGCAAACTCATTTTGTTTAATTATTGTTAACTTCCCGTAGGGCAAGTTATAGTAATCGCAAAAAAATCAAAAATAAAATTTTTTATATATCTTTACGTTTCAGAGGTTTCTGAACATTAGAAAAAATGAATGTATGTGTGTGTGTGCGTGTGTGTGTGTATGCGGATACAAATTTTCGTCGACGATTTCGGAAACACCGATCAACCGAGTTGAATAATTCATTGATAAGCGGACGTGCTGATTAGTTTTTGGCGAAGGCAGGTCTGGTCGTTCCGAATACACGGGGCAAAAAGTGCCAAAATGGTAACTTGTTTTTTAAAAGAAAGGAGTGTCCGATTTTAATAATCCAAAAAACATTTTACTTGTATTGATAAGATGAAGAACTGATCAAATTTTCATGAAGACAGGCCTAGCGGTTTCGGAGATCTAGTGAAAAAAGTAAAAAAAATGCCATTTGGCGGTCAAAAATGATCATTAGACATATGCACATTAAATTATCAGATATTTTATAGAGATTTTAACAATAAGTATAAATTTTGTTTATATTCCTAAGGGTTCGTACTAATGTTTATCCGTTAGACGGCGACGCGTTGACATTTCGTCTCTATGCAGTTAAAGCAGTACGATTGTTTTGAAAAAAAAAAGTACAGAATTTCCAAAATATGTCAAAATAAACAAAAGCATTTTATTTCAAAAAAATCTTTTTTTCAAAAAAAGTAATTTTTTGTCAAATTTATAGTTTCTCAAAAATATAATTTTTTCGAAGTAAATTTTTTTCAACAATGTTAATCTTTTTAAAAAAATAATAATTTTTGGTACGGGAAGTTCCAGCAATATGCCTTAAGGCACGATGCCATGCGCCCCACTAGTTTATTATCTCATTTTTTTATTGTTCATGATAAGTTGAGAAGCACGTGGCGCAAGTGGTAGAAATTTGACCTTGCAATCACAAGGTTCTGAGTTCAAATCTTGCGTTGCATACAATTTTATATCGAACTGTAGTGAAACCGATTTTCACTTAAAATTATAGACCAAAAATATGTTTTTAGGTAAAATTAACTCTTCTGGGTATTTAAAATATGTAAAAATATAATCACAACTGAAAAACATTTGGGTTCAAATCCTGCTTTACGTACAGCCTTATTTCAAACTGCAGTGAAAGAGATTCTCACTTGAAATTATGGACCAAAAATATGTTTTTAGGTTAAAATAACCTTTCTGGGTATTTGAAATATGTAAAAATATAATCACAACTAGAATGGATTTAGGTTGCCGTTTGTAAATACTAACAAAACAATTACTAAATATCTTCATAAAATAAATCTATTGTAATTTAAATTGTAGAAGTAGGAAATTGAAGTTACTTTTACATTTTCAGTGATGAATCGAAATCACAGAGGGTCAAGTATCCCAGGAAGTACACAAGTAGGAAATGCCACGAAGCAAGTAAATAAAGTCAAACCCAATGTGACAAGGTCTGATGGACTTTTATCACCTGGTTACAATAACAACAGGTAACAATTAACGTTTCTCAGCATGCTTTTGTGTAATATATTATATATCAACCCATGAACTATTTCAAATTTTCTTCGAAATAAAATTTTCACGAGACGCCTATCTATACAATGGCAATGTGCTAAAGATTGTTGAATTCGTGATTAAACTAATATTTTTTTATTTTGTCGAATAACTCGTATATTAATTCATAACATAATTTTTAATACGTTTGGTAGTCGTAATAATTGTCTTAGTTTTTTGTTTACTTTGTGAAGGCTCGGCGGCTGTTAATATATGTTATTTAATATCATTCAATATATGACACACTGATATGCTAATGTGTAAATGTGTATTTTAGAAAATTTGGGATTGCCAACGTCGCATTTTCAAATTTATAAAATAATTTCAGCATCATGTGAGAAATAATTAATTATAAATAACTTGTACCGGCAACAACAATAGCATCTATCTAAAGTATGCTGATTATTATAAAATGAAAACTTTAATGCGATAATTGTGACTTTCATCTGATTGTACATTTGAAAGAAGAAGAAGAAGCCATTTATAAAATGTTATACTTCACGTTTAATTTTTTTTCAATCTGTCATGGCTTTTATTGGTAATTTCTATACTTTTATGTTATTCACTTTGGCAGTCTCGAAATGCACATTAGGTTGGGTTTTGAGAGCACATTGAAATGTGCACAGTATCTCGATTTTTACTTATTTTGTTTTTGAAAACAGCATGTTTACTAAACTAAACGTGTTTTGTAACCAAACTCCAAGATCTAATCATAGTAATGATTTTTTTGAATTTTTTTTCTAGTTAATTTAAAACGAATAACGTTTTATGTCTTTCTTATTATATATTTTACGAACACTGAACAATCATAATTTTGAACACAAATTACTCTGCTTACTTTCGCGTGCAATAGCAATTTTTACTACTTATCTATTTTTCAGTTATCTCTTTAATACTTATATTATAGCTAATATATTACGCTTTGTACAAACAAGTATTTCTTACAGCACTCTCGGCAACTCTATTTATCACAAATAGTCATGAAATTTTAAAATTATGCAGTCAATATCCCTTTCATCTTCAAACCGTAATACTTCAATTTATATAGAAACTTTTATAGCTACTTCTTATATAATATTTCAGCTTTCAACACTGTGATTTGTCAAATCTGTTCTTAACTCTGTGATCGTGTTTTTCTATCACATCTCATAAATGCTTTTTACTGTTATTTTTATATTTTTTATCTATTTTTGAATATTTTATCTTGATTTGCTGACGCCTAAATTTTTGACAGGAACTCAATCAAGATTTATCGTTCAAAAATTAGAAAAAATTTTTGATCATTTTTGAAATAATAAGAAATGAATGAATAAATATAGGAATGTTTTTTTTTAAATGGGTTTTGATGAATCAACCAAATTATTTATCAATATCAACTTAATATGAACTAAATTATTAAGTAATTCCAAATAGGGAAACGTTTTTACGGTAACATTAATAGTTTTTTATTCAAGCAGAAACAAAGTGGTGTATACATTAATTTTTATGAGCATCAAAATAACGTTTAGAATTTTTCTCACTTTTACGAGATTTCTACGTCTCTGTTAATAATTTATTATATCGAACAATTTTAAATCAAAAAGTTATTATAAACTTAACGTATGTTCAAAATATTCTTGCGACAAGATTATCTTGGTGTAATTATAAATAATATAATTATAATTGGTATATAATAAAATAAATTTTAAATTGAAATCAAGCCAAAAGCAACTTTTTATACTTTTGCGAACATTTCCAACATCATTTTGGTATTTTTATGATTACAGATATATATTTAATTCAAAACTAAATAATATTAATATTATATTATAAATTTATATATAAAATGTTTTTAAAAAAAATATTGTATTGTGCAACGTGTTTTTTTACTTCCAATTTCAATACTAAATTTCATATCGTGTTGACTTTAAGAATGGTATTTTATTATTGCTTTTGGAATGATTTTAGGTGTAAACCATATTAATCTTGATTTAGGTTCTAATATTTAAAGCCGAAATTCGCTATTATAGCCCCTAGATAATGTTAATGTCGTTAATTTTTTGAAGAATTATTAGAAAATGTTGATAATTTTCTCATCACATTTTCGAATGATGCATATTTTATAATTTACACTTTAAAAAATATGCTTAGGATGTCCAAGAATTCAACGTTAAGCCGAAACATGGTGATAGCGATTGTAATTGCCATGAAAAAAATCACAAAAAGAATTGATGATTCCATGTAGTTTGATAATTATGAGCTTTTAAGTGCAACCCAGATGTTTGGCGAAACTGTGGCTTTTGGGTTATTGTAGTTAATTTTTATTAATTCTAATTATTTTTTAATCCATTTTAATCATCTTTGGTTTCGTAATCGTAAATAACATTTCTAGGTCAACATTTAAAAATAATGACACAAATGCCCCATATTTTATAGAATTAACACTATTTGTTAAATTATGAATTTAAAATTTTCAAAATTGGTTGTCCTTAAAAGGGTTAAAAAGTATTAAAATACTATAATGTATTGGCAAATTCCATTAAAAGTTTGCGAATTTAATCGGGATTGGAAAATGGTAAAATACGGATGCAAAGTTTAAATCATCTAAACTAATAAAATTAATGAAAAAAAGTCGAAGTTTCACCAAAGCTCTAGGTTGCACTTGAAAGCTAATTTTTATTAATTTTAATTATTTTTTATCAATTTGAATCATCTTTGGTCTCATAATCGCAAACAACGTTTCTAGATCAACAATTAAAAATAATGGCAAAATTGCCATATGTGTTTTTAGGATTACCACTAGTTTTTAAGCTATATGAATTTCAAATTTTCGAAATTGATCGATTTTAAAAGGGTAACAAAATAAGAGAATACTAGAATAAATTGACAAGCTCCATCAAAAATTCGCGCATTAAATCGCGTTTGGTAAATGGTAAAATACGGATGCAAAGTTTAAATGATCAGAACTAATAAAATTAACGAAAAAAGTCGAAGTTTTACCAAAGCTCTGAATTGCACTTAGAAGCTAATTTTTATTAATTTTAATTATATTTTTATCAATATTAATCATATTTATCAATCGCTCCATGTATTCTAGAATTAACACTATTTGTTAAACTATGAATTCAAAATTTGCAAAATTGGTTGAATTTAAAAGAATGAAAAAATAATATAGTGTATTGGCAATTTCCATCGCGAATTTAATCGAGATTGGAAAATAGTAAAATGCGGATCCAAAGTTCAAATGATCAAAACTAATGAAATTAACGAAAAAAGTCAAAGTTACAACAAAGCTCTAGGTTGCACTTGAAAAGTAATATTTTTTAAACTACATGGGATTTTTTTTCTAATAAATTTTATGATACATATTTAAGATCAATTGTGGAAAAAGGTTATCATATTACCAATGCTCTAGGTTGTACTTAAAAGCTTATAACTTTCAAATTATACAAAATAGTTTTTTTTTTTTTAATTTTTTTTTTTCATGATAGTTACGATCAATACTACGACTCCATTTTGGCTTGACGATGAGTTTTAGGATATGTAATTATACCCTGTATACATGTAATTTTTTATTCAAATACTTAAAAATTTGATAAATTTCTATTATATCCATTTTGCTTTTTTTTATCAAATATTATAAAACTAAGCATTAATCTAGGGTCTATAAATGTCTGAGGCCCCCTTCTAGCGCCCACTTTGCCCTCTGTCTAATGCGGCGCTGGCAAAAACTAATGCTAACTAGAACCCGTTTAATATTTCGCATCGCTGCATTGTGTCACAATCTTACAATTGTCTTGTACTGACAGCGCGCAATATGTTGTGTCGTTCTAGAACGCAAAGCCCAGGGCCGTACGCCGGGGAAGGGCAGCCCGAGCAGAGCACGTACGCTGGTTACCATCTTGCCTATGAAGTCAAAAAACTCATGTACGCCGCTTCTGCTTTACTTAACACATTATCTGTACTTCTTTCTGTCTGTCTGTCTGTTTGTCTGTTTGTGTTGTCTTGTTTTACTGTCTGTCTGTTCATCTGTCGCATCATTTCGTGATCATTGGATAATAATCGTATGCATGCATCCATAACTTTTCCTAACAATCGTTTCAGTTCGATTTTACAATCAAAGTGAAACGTATTAACCCAGTCAAATTAAAGCTAAAAAAGCCATCAGTTAGGAATAATTCGCATAGAGCTGAAATTTAGTACATATGTTAAGGGGGTATTCTACTGTAGAATTTTGAAAAAATCGAAAAAAATTTTTTTTTCATATTTTCAAAGTTTAGTTATTCAAAAATATGTCATTAAAAGGATTTTTCAAAATTACTATTATTTCCCGAGTTATAGCCGTTTTAGTGACGTGACCTCGGTTCGGGTCCGACTTGTCTCAAAACTTTGAACGCGTTTTTCTCGGAACTACTTTTTTCGAGCTGGCGGTAAGGATATCTCGAGTTCTAATGAACCGATTTACTTCAAATTTGGAGAGAATCTTCTCTATACATCGCTTTATCGTATGGACCTTGCCCAAAACTATAACTTTGTATTTAGTATTTTTAAAAAATTCGGAATTGTTAAAAAAACATGAAAAAAAATTATTTTTTTTTCAAACTGCCGCCATTCAAACAAAAAAATTTTGTTTAACTTATCCAAGGTTCATACGATAGCAGCATCTATTATAATTAAGAATCCATCTATTTTTTATGTTTCAAATTACCAGGAGGGTTGGAATCATGTACGCCAGGACACCCTCTTTTTTTGGGAACCCCCACTTTGACTGCTCATAACTTTGTGAATTTTGATTTTTTTTAATAATAATTTTTTTATGTAATAATAAAATATCAATAAACAAATGATAAAAAAATCGATAGTAAAAATATTATTTGTTTCCTTTATACAGCGCTTCAAAAACCGGGCGAAATTCATGACTCTACAGTAGAATACCCCCTTAAATAGGCCATTACAAATGTCAAAAGTCCCCATCGATCCGACATCTGCGATTTTTTTTTATTCAAGGTCAAAGGTGCAAAATTCTAGTTTTTCTCATTTTCCGCCAAAACCATATTTTTTTAAAAAAAATATGTTAGATGGGTTTATTTATTATAAAATTCTCTATTAAATTGTTATCATTAATTTTCCTCGTTAGAATCACGGTTTCGGAGATATTGCCGTTTGAAAACGTGAAAAATTCATATTCTTCATAATATGCAGCCTTTATACGTCATCAAACGTGTAATGTAAGTAAAAAATAAGAGTCTATTAATTTGTGTTTAAATAACTGTTTAAACATCTGTACCAAATTTCAGCTCTATGCGAATGATTCCTAACTGAAATCTTAACTTGACTCGGTTATATGTGTAGTGTTGGGAGTTAATCATATAAACATTATAATAATCATTTAGGGGGCGTTCATTAATCACGTGAGCGAGTTTTTAAAAATTTTTAGACCTCCCCCTCCCCCTTGGAGATACATGGTAATATTCAAAATTAACCCCGCCTCCCCCACCAACCATCACGTGTATTTTTAGTTACGTGAAAAAACTGTAAAATTTTTGTATTATTTTTGAATACGTTTGAATTTTTTGAATAAACTAGTTAAAAAATAAATACACGTGATATCTTACTATAGCCCTCCTTCCTTCATGTGATATTTCGTGATTTTTTATCGAAATCTCCCCCCTCCCCCTAAAAACCTCACGTGATTTTGACGCCCCCTTATCAACATTTAAAAATTAAAAAGCTAAACAATACTATTACAATTGTGAACGCCCGGCGCAATGTTTATTAAAATTGTCAATTAAAAAATCACTACACACGGACACTTTATTACCTCGAAGGACCAGATATAATTAATTAACTAGTTCAGAAATTGTTTGTAGAAATGTAATGTATTTAATTTTAGTAAATTTTATCATATGTTATCGGGTCAAGGTATACGTACAGACTGAGGATGAATTTCTTAAAAACTATCTTAGTACCTAGAGTAAATATATTTTATTACAACTAGGTAGAAATGCTAGATATGTCATTTGTGAGGCTCGAACAACAATAATAATAATACTATTACACTAACAATAATATTATAATTGAGGTTTCTAAATTCTCTGATCTATTGGACTGTATCATTTGTATAGAGTACCTTTCAGAAATTTTTGTGTGATTATAACTATGAAATATAGCGACTGAACTCGCCTTTTTCTAAAATGACTTCCGGCTATTCTAAATCGATTACTTTTTAACTATTTCGCTACGAGTGTCGTCCATAAATGACATCCACATGACTACCTGTGTGTATACGAGTCTTCCATAGACGACAAGCTGTGTGTCGGCCTTTCTTCAAGACTTAAACTATTGCAAATTCTATGTTTTTATTGTAATTTTTAATTCGTTAGAAGCGCATTTTTTTATTTTTTGATGATAGCTATACTTAAAATATGTTATCATGTCTGGTTCGTTCAGTAGCGCTACTGGGTGACACCCTGTAACACTCGCGTAACGATAGGGTTAATAATAAAGTCGTTTAAAATGAACGGAACTGTGTTATTATATTTCTATTATATATTTAAATATATATCACTTGTATTCTTGAAAATTTTGTGTTGTTAATAAAATTGATTATCAGCGTTTAAGATTCGTATATCTTTTTTGAAATAGTTATATTTTACATAAAATTTTAAATCTTTAATTTTCATTTTATAATATTGAAATTCAAAACTACAATTTTTTATGATTTAGAACTTAATCGGATTCTAGGAATAGGATGTCTACTATAGACAACATTTACTTGCTTAAATATTTATCATACTGACCCAATTTATTCAGAATTCTAATTGGTTATTGAAATTTTTAGTTATTCACAAGTGTAATTTTTAATTTTTAAATCCATTCTCACTGATAGTGATTTAAAAACCCTAAAATATATGTTGTGTCTGGACCGTTCAGTAAAGCTACTGGACATTTCGCAGGCTAGTAAAGCAGTGTCACTTGCGGAAAACACTGCAAAGGGTTCTTTTATCTATTCTGGCTTATATATTTTCTAAAATTTTTGAATAAAAAACAGTTTCGCACAATATCTCTTTGATTCAAATTCCATAGAGAATTCAGGCGCCATTTAGTTCCATGTATTTTAAAAACTTTAATTCTAAAACACTAGAAAAAAGGCAGTTTTTAAAATCTCAACAAACCTCCAAGTAAAAACATTGAAAGTTTATTTTGATACTGATGATATATATATATATATATATACAAATTTAATGAGTAATTGATTTACTTGTATTACTTTCATTCGCATTAGAGAAGAATGCAAAAAAACCTTACAGCTTTGATTGTTTGTTAATTCTTTATCAATTTTGCAATACTCATGCCAAAAATGATGATATAATATCTACTTTAAAAAACTATTATGATTAAATTGATGCATATTTAAAAGATCGAGTACCAATATTTTTAATAACAATTTTAAACATATGGTAAGTTTTAATATATCATAGATAATATTGTTACATAAATATTTGTTTTGTTAAAATATATATTTTCAAATTGGTAAAAAAATTTAAATTGATTCGTCCTGTATTGAGTATTGCATAATACTAAGTTTTGGCTTGTGATTATGTATGTTAATCAATGTTTTTAAGCATGTACCTATTCTATATAGTGTTTTTCTTCCTACTAATACATTTTCATTATTTATTATTTTTTCATATTACTTAGTAGATTTGCAGTTATTACTTTTAAACACGCACAAATTGCATTGATGTTTGGAATATGATTAGTTCTGTAGTTAGAATAATCTTTTCTTTTTCATAAATTTTTAAGTAAATTCGTGAATATGAAAAAAGTATATTAAATAAGTTTAAACGAATTATAAAATATTTCTGTTGTATTCGTGAATATTATTGTGTCTCTACTTGTCTATAATTGTAATTATCTATTTGTGGTGCATATTTTGATTTAATTCGGTGTTTTAATTGTTAATTGGATTTATAAAACATAATGTTTTGAATAAAATTTATTTATTTATCGACAACATCGGATATAGGAAAATGTTAAAAGGTAATTTACTGTTCAAATATTTCAACTGCTAGACATGTTATATTATTGTTTTAGTGTCAATGGTAAAATAAACATCGTGAATAAGTTTGTACTGAACTTGTACAATATGCCTAATTTGAATTTAAGTCATATTTGGTACAAGAGTTTACACTACTAAATTGAAAAACGGAGTGACGTATATTATTATATCAACTGTATTTTATTTTTTATTTATTTATAGAACTAGAATCAATTTAAAATAGTACAAAACATAAGTGGCTGTAAAATAGGCTGCAAACAGTAATTATATAAATATTTTTAGCATAAATCTGATATGGCTCTGCTTCAAACAAATTGCTAAAATTAGAATAAAATATCTAGATATTTGTTTGAATGAAAAAACACAAATTATTTTTTTACCTTTATTAACTTATCCAAAATAGTATTGAAATTAACTAATCCTATTTTTTGCTTTTTCTATCTATTTTACCCAGGCCGACCAGTCGGAGCAGTGGTCCAGGAAACCAGAGCGGAGCAACTGTGTCCTTGCCTGCAGGCCTGGCAGATGATCAGTCTAAAGATTTCGATTTCGAAAAAACTGAAATGAAATACGATTCAACTGGTATGTTCCATTGGAGTCCAGCTAGAAATTTAGAAGATTGCATACTGGTAAGTTGAATTAATCCAGCATTGTCGAATTATAATCTAATCTAAGAATATAATTTGCTTTTCAATTTTATTATATGCAATTCTACTATCTAAAACCAAATCAACTACATTACAAACATAATGCATATCAAACAATTGATTTGAATTCTATCGAATTTTAAAGTTCCCAGTTAATTCCTAATCATAGAAATGTGATTTTTTTTACTATTTTGCTAGAATTTCTCATTTGTTGTTTCTTATCCCAAAGGCTAGATAAAAAGGACAGCTAGAGGTCCAACATATCTAATGTCTTCATTTTAAATTTCAAATGTTTCTGTTTTATTACATAAAAAAAATCTACTCTACAAATATAACTTTATTCGTACATTGATTTATTGGCAAAGAAGTTTTATTACATTTAATAAATTAATTGTAAACCGTTTATAAATGAATTCATTATGTTCGTTTTCTTTATTAGCTTGAATTTTTTTTCCAGGACCGGAATCAGGCGGCAATGACTGTACTGAACGGACACGTGGTTGTGTGCCTATTTGCAGATCCTGATTCGCCCTTAATTGGATTGAGAAATTTAGTAATGCCCTTGAGGGCTAGTAATTTCCATTACCACGAACTTAAACATGTTGTGATCGTAGGTTCTGTTGACTATATTAGAAGAGAATGGAAAATGCTGCAGAATTTACCCAAAATTTCCGTACTCAACGTGAGTAAAATATTTTTCTAAAATATAAATTAATGAAGAATATCTCTAACGCCTCTTAGTTCAGTCATTTAGTAGTTTTACCTTAAAAGTTTTCCAGAAGTTTTGAAAATTGGTGATTTTATAGATTTTGAAGTTTTCCGGACGTTTTGAAAATTGGTAAATTTATAGATTATGATGTGATCTTCACGAATTTTTCATTTCATTGCGACCTCGAATTTTTGCCGCTGCCGCCGCCGTATTGGAAAAAATGCGTCAAGAATCAGTTTTTCGACGATATCTCCTTTTTGGACGAAAAACTGATTTTTGACGCAATTTTTTTAATATGGGGGCGGCAGCGGTTAAAATTTGAGGTCGCAAAGTTGAAATTCGTGAAGATCACATTAAAATCTATAAAATCACCAATTTTCAAAACTTCCGGAAAACTTTTAAGGTAACAGCTTTGTTTTGCACCAAATGACTGGGCTATCTGTACTATTTTAATTTAATGTTTTATTGAATTGATTTATTTAAAATTAAATGTTTCAGATAGATATTATATTGTTAATTCTAAAATGGTACACTTACTTTATTTTGATTATCATGGTTATGAAAAAAAAATGATATAAAAATATAATATAATGATATTAAAATAAAAATTGTAAATTGTCTTTTTCATGAACGATTTTAAAGTAAAATGTGTTCTAATAAAGAGCTTTTTAACTATAACTTGATACCAATTGAACTAGTAGAACTTGTATAACATCATATATAGTTTTTTAATGACTATCTATCACACACATAAATATATTACATTGTAGAAAATTTATTGATAACATATTTACTTTTGATGAAAGTTATTGACATTAGTTATAAATATCTTTTTTTAGGGTTCACCGCTGTCAAGAGCGGATCTTCGTGCTGTGAATGTGAATCTATGTGATATGTGTTGTATTTTATCGGCAAAAGTACCGAGCAATGATGACCCAACATTAGCCGACAAAGAAGCGATTTTAGCATCATTAAATATCAAGGTATATAAATATTGGCAGAATGAAATAATAGTTAAATTATTAACAAAATATTGGTGTTAAACAATTAATTTTTTAACTTCAGGCTATGACGTTTGATGACACAATAGGTGTATTGAGCAATGGGGCTGCCGAACAAGACAATTTAGCGCCTGTAGGAAGTCCCATTGTCTTACAAAGAAGAGGATCGGTGTACGGAGCCAATGTGCCTATGATAACTGGTAAGCATATCGATATCATATGAAAACTAGCAAACCCGACGAACTCCGTTTAGCCACCGTTTCGTGAGAAAGATGAAGAAATTTTTTGATTGTTTTATATTTGAAAAGGAAAAATTTGATTTTCTTGCACAACAGTAATGAATTTATTTCAATTACAAAAATGAAGTATTTTTTAGTTGAACTTCTCTAAGTAAATGAAAGTGAATCCGCAAATTATCCGTTTCATTGAAGTGCTCTTTGGTAAACCACATTTTTTGTTTTTTGGTCTGACGTTAACACAAACAAACCGGATGGTTTTTTAACTCGTGAACAGGCAACGTATAACTGCCCATGTGAAAAATAATGATTTTCTAAATAATCTATTTGAAATTTATCCCGCAAATACTAAGCGATTGGCCTTGCGACTTGTTAGTTGTCATTGCGAACGCAAGGCGAACTGGAAATTGCAATCGTTTGAAGTCAAACGGAAGACCAGTCGGAATCATTGGTATATCACCAAATCGTAAGCAATTTTTGATTGAATGGTGAAATTCAGTGCGTGTACATCATTATTCTTTGCAGCAAGAATTGCTCATTGACTTAACCAAGCATAATTCTGATAATTCTTACTAATGTCATTACTCGAATTTTCAATTACGGTGCGTGAAGTTCCAGCAATTTGCATTAAGGCACGATGCAATGCAACACTAATTTTCTTAGCTATAACCCTTGCGAAGCCCCAGACCTTTCCAACGAATGCAAAATTGTCAAAATCGGTTCGTGCGTTCTGAAGTTATTTCGTCAGGAAGGAAAACCCGACTTATTTTTATATATATGTAGATGATTAACTTTCTTCAAAATAAAACTACTGGTTCTGCGCATTGTTTCTTCTAGTTATGTCCATTGCTAAAATGCATAAACATTATAATCCATTAATTTGATTGAATTAGCTATTTAGGGCTATAACAATGATATGTAGCATTTAATACTGCATTACCTAAATTCTTTTTAAGTATTAATTCGAGTAATTAATTTTATAGAACTTGTAAACGACAGTAACGTCCAGTTCTTGGATCAAGACGATGACGATGACCCCGATACTGAGCTGTACCTTACACAACCATTTGCTTGTGGTACTGCATTTGCTGTTAGTGTTTTGGACTCGCTTATGTCCACGGTAAGTAAAATAATTATATTTTGTAAATAATAATGAAAAAACTAAATTCCTCAATAATATTAAGATCGTACAGCTAAATATCCCTACGTGCATCAAAACGCTTATAAACTACGCTTATTGTTATTAAAAACTGTACGATATATGTTTACTCTTGGCGTGTTCATAATAAACTGGATCTAAATATTTCTAAATGCAAAATTATTAGTTTTACAAATAAGCGCGTTTCGATTCATTTTGATTATAAAATTTCTGACACAAGCATAGAAAGGTGTGATAAAATATCTGACGTAGGCATTTTATTAACTTCCCGAAGGAGAAGTTTATGTTTTCATAAAAAAATACGATTCGCTAATTTTATGTTTTCCCGACGTTTCAAGCCATTCTGAATCGAATGAGACCAAATTTGGAAAAATTATGTGTGTGTGTGTATGTGTGTGTGTGTGTGCGAGTATGTAACCAGATTTTTTGCCGTAAATCGACGTTTTCTGGAAAACGGCTGGACCGATTCCAAAAATTTAAAAGCCATTCGATGTATCTCGATGAGGACTATCGTTTGTTAGTTTTGTGCGACGATCGGCCGAGACGTTTCTTTATAAATAGCAGAAAAGTGAAAAAATTTTCGTCCACGTTTTAGCCCGCAATTCTAAATCGATTTTAAAAATTCAAAACCGTTCGAAAGATATTGGTTGGGAATCGTGCTGATTAGTTTTTGGTGAAGATCGGCCGGGCCGTTTTCTTGTAATAAAGTGTTAAAAAAAAATTGTTTCGACGATTTTCATTATTTTTTTTTTGGCGGTAGATACCATAGTCTTCTAGATCATACTTAAATATTACGGCCCTACGACAACTAGTTTCACTTTAAAATTAGTCAAAGTTTGCAAAAATTGGTATCGTTTTTTTGGCATTTGTCAAAATTAGAGTTTTCATCGACATTTTCTCAAAAACGCCTGAACCGATTTCAGAAATTTAAATGCCATTTGATGTATCTCGATGAGAACTATCATATGTCATTTTGTGCGACGATCTGCCAAGCCGTTTCTTTATAATTAAAAAAAAGTGTTAAACTTTTCGTCCACATTTAAGCTCATTCTACCGAATCAATTTTAAAAAATCAAAAACTGTCCGAAAGATATTAGTTGGGATTGATGCTGATTAGTTTTAGGTGAAAACCTACCGAGCCGTTTCCTTGTAATTAACTCCTGAAAAAAAAATTTAAGCTGATTTTTATGAAACTTTTTTTAGCGATATATATCATGGTCTTATAGGTCTTACTGCAATATTACGGCCTTACGACAAGTAGTTGAATTTTAAAAATTCGTCAAAGTTTGAGAAAATGAGTAGTTTTTCTGACGTTAGCTAAGATGAAAATTAGACGATTTACTTGGTATAACGATAGAGTACTTGATCTTAATGAACATACTAAACCATTAAAGGAAACTTGTTCAATCATAAAAATGATTAATTCGTGAAAATTTGCTTTAAGAGAATACTCCGAGTTAACGTATTCGTTCGTTCATTTTCAATTATGTGTAATAAATCCACTCGAATTACTTTTAATCACTCATAAATTAATCTATTTCTTATTGATTAGGTCGATTATTTACAAATATCGGGAAGTTCATGTAACTTGCCTCATGGCTAAATACCAATACCAACTAGTTTTAATTTATTTTCAGACGTATTTCAATCAGAACGCACTTACCCTAATCAGATCGTTGATAACGGGTGGGGCGACGCCGGAACTGGAATTAATTTTGGCAGAAGGTGCAGGACTACGCGGCGGTTACAGTACGGCCGACAGTCTTTCAAACCGCGATAGATGCCGTGTTGGTCAGATCTCACTGTATGATGGGCCTTTAGCTCAATATGGTAAGATCCTCAAGATTTCTTGCTCAGATTATATAAAACACACAAATATAAAATTCCGACATAAACAATAATTAATTTAATTTGTAGTTCGTATGTACATGC